GGGAGACCGGAAGGCGACGTGGCACCGTGCTGCCGAGGGGAACGTGCTGCCCTTGGCCGCACGGCAGGCTCCGCCCCTCCCGGCAGAAGTGCACACACGTCAGTGCTGACGTCAGCGCCCGCCCCCACGCCCCCACCGACAGGCCTGCCCTGACCCGCGCTCTCTCCCAGGCCGAGGCCCCGCAGCAGCAGCAGCAGGGAGCTCCTTTCCGTTTACGAGTGGGCAGCACCTGCCCGCGCTCCTGCCGTCTCTGATGGAGACCCTCCCGCCCCCCAGAAGCACGTGACACGGCCCGCTCCGGGAGCCCACGCGGTGAAATCCGCAAGGGGCTCGCCAGTCCCTCAGGAAACCCACGGTGGTCAGTTTGCTCGACCCACTCATGGGTCCGGTCGGACAGGCGGGCAGGCCTCGCTCCTGGGCCCGGGAGAGGGTTGGAGCTGGCCCCGCTGGTGCTGCGGGGGAGACGGGGACGGGACGGGACGGTCCCCTCAGGAGACACTGTCCCGGTGCAGCTGGGGTCGCACGCGGAGGGCAGCTCTCTCTGCGGCTGGCGGAGCCCCACAGAACAGCCCCACCCTGTGTGACACCAGGAAGAGCCGCGCCAGGAGGCGTCGGGCTGCACCGGCAGGAGTTACGCCCGGAGGCCGGGAGACAGAAAGGGCCGGAAAGCAAACCCCCGCAGAGGAAGCGACAGCCTAAACAGAGGCCTCTCACCCACGGGCTCGGGGGTGGGGCAAGAAGGCGAGGGCACAGTGTCCCCAGGGGCTGTTAGAAAACACTGAGTGGGAATCTTTTTTTTTTTTTAAATACAGTAAAAAACACTTAAGTGGCTCCTTGACACGTGGGCATCAGACCACAGTGACTCTGGCCGGGGACGGTCCAGGCGGGTGAGGGCACCCACGGCCCCCGCTCCGGCCCTCGGCGGGTGCGCCTCCCACTGCTCGCGGATGTTGTCGCAGCGCCAGAGGGGACACGGCTGCCCCTGCTGCAGGGGGGTGAGGGGCTCCTGGCGCTTTCCCTGGCTGCTCTGACGGAGGCGGTCAGAGACACCCAGAGAAGAACTCCAGGGTCAGGCTGGCGGGCGCACAAGCCAGCCAGGTGCGGCCACACAACGTGTTTTTCCTGTTCCTCCTTCCCCCACTTCAAAGCCTGGAGCGGCCACTTCCGCCCCCTCCACCCCGTGACCCGGCCCCTCCCCTTCAACTCGCACTGAACCCCGAGGGCTCCGGCGCTGGCGCGGGCACCAGGGTGCAAGTCAGGCCTCAAGGAGCTCGCAGTTGGCACCCGTTCCCCCGCGCCCGGGCTGCCTCCCGGGGGACCCCTCCCACGGCTGGGGCCGCAGCCCCGCCCACGCCGCGTCCTGCGGTGCCCTGGTGCTCCCCTCTCCCCTGTCCCCTCTCCGCCCTCAGAGCAGAGGAAGGCACCCTTGAAACACACTGAACAGAAGGTCACTTCGGGGACTTTCGGAGGCTGCACACAGAGCTCTGCCGACCCGCAGGACACCGGACAGCCCCGGACGCCGCACCCCAAAGCCTGCCCTTCCCTCCCCCCCCCTCCGCCCAGCTGCCCACCCCCACGGGCCCCGTCTCTCGGGTTCACGCCTCCCACTGCCCGCACAGCGGACCCCTCCGGAAGCAGCCCCCTCCGGAAGCAGCCCCGTTTCCACCGGGCTCCGCTCCTCCTCCTGCTGCGCTCACGGCGGGGTTCTGTGCCCCTGCCACCACGGGACACCCGCCAGCCTCCACCTGGGAGGAGGAGGCCCCTGGGACGGCTGGGGCCCTGACAACTCGGGGGCCACGCAGGCAGAGCGGAAGGACAGGGCACGGGGGCACAGAGCCACACGGCTTCCGCAGCCGGAGGCCGGCCCGCCGTGCCGTGCCGGGTGGGACAGGCCCCGGGAAAGGGGAGAAGCCCAGTTTCCGGCGCGGGGAGTCCCGGGAGGGGAGCCAGAGATGGCGGAGCAGTCTCGGACCGACGGGCCCAGCCCGACTCGGACGGCCTGTGCGCTGAGGTCGTCCAGAACGCTGACCAGAAGCCACCCTGTTCAGACTGCAGATGTCACTGCTGGCAGGAGGCAGCCCCGGGCCGTCACCGAGCCGGCGTGCCGGGGCACAGCTGCCAGCCCACACGGCTCGGAGAGCGGGCGTCAGCCCGAGGGAACCAGAGGGTTTCCGCCACCCCCATGGCTCCCGCCCCGGGGACTGGACTGTTGTCAGGCCAGCCCCTCGAGTCCCCACGGGGCCGCTGAACGGGCGGGGAGGGCCCAGGGGCCACGCTGGGAGAAGGGGCCCCGGCCTGACCTCTGTGCCCCGAGCACGTGGCCGCTCCGCGGGGACCGCCGCTGACCAGACGTCGCCGGACGGCTCCCAGCCCGGTCTCGTGAGTCTCGGGACACTCGAGGCAGCAGACGGCGTGGCCAGTTGTTCTGACGTGACTCGGCCTGAAAACCTCCCTCTCCCTTAATTCCACTCACAGACGGTCATCCCGGGTCAGCGGAGCCTGCCTGTGTGCAGCCAGGTCTCCTCTGCACGTGTCGTGAGGGGTCTGACCGCCAGGACACGCAACGCCGGACGAAGGCCGCCGTGCAGAGGGGGCAGGAGCCAGGGCAGCAGCGGGGAAGCCAGGTCCCCGCACTGGTTATCGTCAGGGAGTCAATGGGCCTCGTTCGTGTTTCCAACGCGTGCCGATCAACAGGCCAATAAAAGTGCGACAGACGAGGCAACCAGTGCGGCCAGTGCCGCCCGGTCTGTGACTCACCACCGAAAACGCCCAGTTAAAAAAAATCTCGGTGTCCTGCTTGCGGACAATAACCCACTGTCCATGCTGACCGCGGGCCGCCGTGAACTTAGACATTTCCCAGCTCACACTGGGTGAGAACCACGGGAAAAAGTGACTCCGGGGAGGATGGCCTCTGTTCACGTGAAGTGGGAGGGGGCGCGTCGTGGACACACGGAGACGCGTCTCGGCGCATCGCACCGGCCCGGGCGTCGGCAGAGGCGGGGCGTCGGCTGGGCTGGTCCGCTCCTCCCAGTGTGTTGCACGCGGAGAATCTGAGGTTCACCCTCCACTCGATGAAACTTTAAACCAGCGTTCCCGTCTGTGTGCAGAGCTCCTTGCCCCAGTCCCCTTCAGCAGCAGCAGCCAGCCTGGGGACGCCCTCGGCGGACACGGGTCACCGAGTCAGCCTCCTCCGCCTCCTCCGGGACAGACTCGCTTCCCCGCGGGGGCACGTCTGCCGGACAGTGGGGCGTCAGCCTGCTCTCCCGGGACGCCCTCCAGGACCCCCCTCTGGGGAGGGGCTAAAGAAGAGACGGCAGTGAGCAAACCTCGGGGTCTCGGGGGCAGGGCAGTGAGCTGCGGAGAGTGTCCCACGGGCGGATCGCTGCGTGCTCCGTGTGCGCTGCGTGCTCCGTGTGCGCTGCGTGCTCCGTGTGCGCTGCATGCTCCGTGTGCTCCACGTGCTCCGTGTGCGCTGCGTGCTCCGTGTGCGCTGCATGCTCCGTGTGCGCTGCGTGCTCCGTGTGCTCTGTGTGCTCCGTGTGCTCCTGGGGTGGGGGTGGGCAGGGGAGCGCACAGGGAGGAGTGTGGGGGGCCAGGACTGGCGGGCGCCCTCGGCGGGGCCCCGAAGTGGGGACAGAGCGTCCCGGCCTCCCGGCAGGCCCGCCGGGCGGGGGACCGGCAGAGGTGCGGAGGCGGCAAGCCCCCGAGGCTGCGGCCCGGGAGCGCAGTGCCGCGCAGAGGCCGCAGAGGCGCAGAGGCGCAGAGGCCGCGCGCTGTGGTGCTCTCGGGGACCGTGCACGTCTGCACCCAGTGCGCCCCTCCTGAGGTGTGCACGGGCCGAGACGCGGTTCACGTGCAGTGCAGCACGCCCTTTCGGGGTGCGGCCGGGGCTCGGGCAGAGGCACACGGCCGGGAGCCGCCCTCCGCAGCGGTCGAGAGAGAGAAACACGTGTGGCACGGTGGGTTTCAGAGGGGTTTACACGTCAAACAGCCGGGCACGTCCCGCGTGGTTTCCGCCCAGAGAGGTGGCGCAGCGGTCAAGGCCGGGGTCCCGGCCCCAGCCCCGTGCTCCGGCCCCAGCACTGACTCTGGGCTAGCTGCTCCGCGTCCTGGGGCCCCACCCTCGAGCCTCGAGACGCCAGGGACAGCCGCACAGACCTCAGGGGCACGGCACCCAGCAGACGTGAGCGCCGCGTCCCAGACGGGGTCCCCAGGGGAGAAGCGTGACCTGCCCTGCTGCCCCCACGCGCTCCGGGGCGGTGAGGACCATGACCGAGTGAGACGCAGAGGCAGGCCCCGGGCTCAGCCTGCGCGGGCCGGGCGAAGGGGAGGGGCACCTGGTCGGCGTTCCCGCCCGAAAGGAGAGACTTTTCCTTCGAGGTGGCCCCAGAGGTAGGACGAGACAGCGCTCTGCGACAGGCCACAGGACAACCAGAGGCACCCAGGGCGGACCCTGGGGGCCCTCGCGGGGTGGTCTGGCTCCCTGAGGAGTAGCCAGGCCCGTGGCCGTGGCCTTCAGTCCCCACCAGAGGGGCTTCAGCGCACGAGGGGGCTCCGCCCGGGAGGCCGGCCGTGGCGGGGCAGCCGACCGGGTGAGGGTCGCGTGTTTAAACGGGTCCAGGGCAGAATGGAAGGAGGAGCCCCACGCTCTCTCCCCCCCTCCCTCCAGGAACACCCTCCACTTTCACAGGCCCGTCCACAGTCCTCGTAGAGTGTTCGGTTTGGTTAGAAGGAAGCCGAGAGACGCCCATCCAGCCCTCTCGCTGTAAGGCCAAGACCGAGGCCCCGAGCTCGGGGGACGAGCCGAGTGGGCCCGCAGCCCCTCCTCCCCCTCGAGGGGTCAGAGGCCGAGGCCAGGCCGCCCCCAGAGCCCCGCGGACGTCAGCCCCAGGTCACTGCACCCCGCGCCGGCAGGGCACACCAGCACTCGCCCGCAGCGGGTCTGCCGGGCGGGTCTGCCGGGCGCACGGCCGCGGGGCCGTGGGGGGGCCGCTACGCACCAGGTCTGGCTTCAGGCGGTAGGTCAGCGGAAAGGAGAGCCAGGCGGCGCGCAGGGTGGTGAACACGGTGGACAGCCAGGACTGCTGGACCTCGCGGCTCCGGGGGATGCGGTGGATGTGGTACTCGGGCCGCTGCAAGGAGAGCGGAAACCGGGTCAGCGGGCCGCCGGCGCCAGGGCCCCACGGGCGGCCTCTGCGCACGGCGCTTCCCGGACCGTTCCTGACGCCCACCCCCGCTGCTCGTGGGTCCAGCCAGGACGCTTTCTCGGCTTCCCGCGGCACAAGGCACACGTCTCTGGGTGACGGCCGGAGGTTTTCTAGGCTGCGCCTGGAGGCGCCTGCTGCGTGGCAGGAAGGCGTGCGCGAGCCTCTGCCTGCAGCTCGCCGGCCCCCCCGGTGGGCGCCCCTCCCCCAGCTCTAGGGCTCCCGCACTCCCCCCTCTTCTGCCCTCTGTCCTGTGCCTGGATCCTCACTGGAGGCTCGCGCACCAGCCCTTTCTGGGGAGAAACGGAATAAAAATGGAACAAAAACGGAGTCCTAGGGGGACAGTCAGATGTTTCTGCTGAACCTCGGACCCCAGGGCTCTCCTGGCAAGCACTGCTGCGCCCCCTGCTGCGACCCCTGCTGGCAGCCACGTGGCGACGCAGGTCTGGGAAGTAAGTCCAGGGCTCACCCTGCAGCAATGAGGCCCCCTCTGGCCCACAGTGGGCAGGAGCGGAAAAGAGGAGGAAAGAGGAATGTAAAAGTGAGACTCTGTCCTGTTCTCGCTCTGCCAAACAGCAAAACACCTGTCCCCGCCTATCATTTGTCTGTCCACCCAGCCACCCACCCGAGCCCCCAGACGCAGAAGGGCAGGGCCACGCCCCACAGCGCCCCCATGGCCCCACGCACCACCGTGACCGGCACCTGCGTGAGCATGCAGGGGCGAGGTGCAGGGGCGGGGCTGCCGAGAGCGAGCACTGGAGCAGCGTGACAGACAGACGCAGAGGGCAGACGAGGTTTTCAGAGCCCTCCTTCCTCTGACAGGAGGAGAAGCCCTGGGCTGGGTGCTGACAGGGGTGACAGCTGGCGACTTCCACGGCACCAGCCGGAACGGCCTCGCCGCTGGGAACCCCAGACGGGGCTGGCCGGCCTGGGGGTCATGGGGGACTCTACAGAGGGGGCTCTGGCCGGCCCGGGGTCATGGGGGACTCTACAGAGGGCTGCAGTGACCGGGACAGAAACAACCCCACCTGGGAGCCCCGAGGGCTCCGCAGACCACAGCGGAGCGGACGCCACGGCCTGCGAGGTGCTCCTCACTGTCACCGCGCCCCGGAACCTGCGGCACGTTGACGGCTTGGGGAGCGCCACCCTGCCATGGGCTCTGGCTCGACACACGTCAAAGCCGGAGCGGCAACGTTCCGTTCAGCCCGCAGCGGTTGCAGCTTTCTCCCACGGCGGTCTCCTAACAATGCAAGGGCTGACGCACGCTAACAGGGCACTGGACGGGCCCACCGTCGCTCCGACATCGGGACAGCCCGAGCTCGCCGCGCCAGGGACACGTCTCTGTGCGTGCGCGGCGGCTGCAGACGGGGCCCTGCAGACAAGCAGCCCACCACGCTGGGGGCACCCGGCTCCCCAGACCTCGGTGCCCACACCAGCCGCGGTGACGGCAGGGCCGGCTCTCGGCCCGGGGGTTGAGGCCTGGAGGCCGCCCGCAGAGGCATCCCCTGGCTGGAGAGGCCGGCCCGGGAAAGGGAGAAGCCGCCTGCTCCTGGAGGGATCACCGCCCGGTGCACGGAGTCGGAGGCCCCGCCCAAGGCACGCCAGCGGCCTGCTCCCAGCTTCCGGTCCCTGCCTGAGGCCCGCAGGCACCGGTCTCCCTTGGGTGGGTCCCTGTCTCCCAGCCTCGGCCCAGCAGTTTGGGTGGGACTTCAGCCCGCCCCCTTCACCACCTCTAGCTCCCACTTCTGGGGGGCCCAGAAGGGCCTAACCAGCACGGGACAACCCCGAGCCCGGCCACCACGCACGACTGGGAACGTCACCCAGCCGAGGCCACCAGGCGGGTGTTTGCTCCTGGGAAGAGAAGCCTCGCGTCTCTCCGACGCCGACACGGGCCGTCTTGGTCCGTCCTCACGCTGGGGCAACGGCGGGAGGCCAGGGCCAGGGCCAGGGCGAGGGTCTGCCGTAGCTCGGCACGCGCTAGGGGCCCGTGCCATTCACCCGGCGCCGCGCCGGGGGAGCGCCAGGCACCAGCAGCTGCAGGGAGTGCGGTGTGTGGTTCAGGTGCTCCGGCCCCGGTGACCCGGCTCTGGTCCAAGGGAAGCCTCGCCCTTCCTGGGGTCGTGGCGAGGGGACCCTTAAGGTTCGGGAGGGGATTTCGGACGTTGAATCACTGAAGTACTTCAGAGCTGTGTCCCCGTCTATGTGACGTGCTGTTCTGAGAACAGTCACTCCGTCACTGAAACGGCCGCGTCGGGGTGGGTCCGCACCTGCAGCGCACCACGGCGGTTTCTTCTTCTCCAGACGCCCCCCCCCACCCCGCCCCGCTCCGAACGGGCTTCCGCGTCGGGGGTGCTCGTCTTCACACGGGTACGGCTCGTTACAAAGGGGAAAGCGCAAACACACGGCAGCCACACGCTAAGGGTGCGGTCGTGTGAGACCGGGGCTGTAACACGTAACTCCCAGACTGCAGGGAGCCCCCCAACGGCAGGGATGGGCCAGGTGGCCGGCGCCCCACCCGGGGGCGGCCCTGGGGGTGTGGGAAGGGGGCCGTCCCGACGGCTCTGGGCCCACCACCGGCTGACCGAGGAGCCCTGCAGCCGGCACACTGCCCCAGACACCTGGCTGGGAGACGCCACCCCAGCACCGCCTGGGGCTCGGGCGGCGGCCAGGCCAGCCTGCCCCTGACCCGCGGGGCCGCCCCCAGAGCACCGGTGCTCACGCCGCGTGTTTGGGCTGTTGCCAGAGCAGCTGTTTCCTGTCAGCAGGTGTTCCTCCCACGGCGGCGTTTCTCTCGTCTCAGCTCTACTTCTAAAACACAACCCTCGCTGTTCTCTGACTGTCGTCTTAGAAGATGTTCAAAGACACAAACGAAAACCAACCATCAGCCGCACACCAGACGACCCTCCCCCTCTGCGCAGCCTTCAGACGGCCCGATCCTCACGGAACCCTGCCGCACTAAAGGGCTCCCAGATGACCTTCCAAAGTCGGCGGAACCTGCCTTGTCGCCTCCCCACTCCGTCCCCACGCCCCCGCCACCGCTGCTCTCGTCACACGCCCACACGCCCTCCTCTGGTCCGCGCGGGGCCTGCCCGCTCCACGTCCCCCCTTTCCCCACGCTGTGTCCCCGGTCGGACCCCCGATCTTCCTTGGGAAGCCACCCCAACCCCCCAGCCTGGGGGTTCTGCCCTCCCTCCCACCCCATGTTGGAAGCCGCAGGTGCCTGTGGTCTTGCCACCCCCTCCAGCGCCCTCGGCTCAGTGAGACGCCTGAGGGTGCTGACCGCCCACCCCCCTTGAAGTCCCTGTCTCCTCCGCTCCCAGCTGGCTCTGCGCAGCGGCCGCCACCCACGACCGCCTTCACTGCCCTGCCGAGGATCCCCAACTCCTCCCGGGCTGGCCTGGCTCCCCGGAGTCCCTGTGAGAGCGGGGAAGTGGGGTCCGTGTGGGGACTGTCCATTCAGAAGAGCCACAGGTCTGCCCACCAGCCCTGATGCGCGGCTGTGCACTGCCACCTGGTGGCGGCCCTCGGGATGACAGTGACTGGGCAGGGGGCGGGGCACCGGAGCCCACAGTGACAGCAGTCCGTCCACTCCTGCTGGCCCAGGCGGCCGCTTCTGAAGCTGAGGGGCCCTCTGGGGGTGGGAGGGGGAGAGAAGAAGGGGAGAGAGCCGGCAGGGCCTCCCTGGGTCCATGGTGGCTGCCCCATCCTCACTGCTGCTCTGACCACAGGCCGCGCGTTCTGCTTGCTTGTCTTGTTTTCTCGCCCACCCCCCCGCCCCCAGCAACCAGAAACCCTACTGACCCAGCTTTCAGCCAAGGCCAGGACCCCCCCACCCCAGCTTCCCACCCCTGCTGGTGCCCTGGCTCCCTCGGCCCGCTGCCCGTCTCCCCGGTCCCAGTCCCGCTGGTCCCCACCCTCCACCCGCGCCTCCTCGCAGTCCGTTTGAAGCGGCAGGCGCGCCCTGGCCCCCAGACCACGCAAACGTTCCGACGGCCCCTCACGGTGCGTGTGTGTGCGCTGCGTTCACGTCCCAGCCAGCAGCACCCCCAAGCATGCATGCGTGGGCACGGCCTGCCCGCCCTTTCCTGTCAGCAGGTTGCTCGGTGGGGCTTTCTCCTTGTTTTTTAGCCTTTTCTCTAATCAAAGTAAGACCCTCGCTTATGGTAGGACATTTGGAAACTTGTAAAACTGCTGCTCGATGTGTCTAGTACCAGACTGTGCCCTGCCCCTGGGCCCCTGCTCCCGTCTCCAGGGTGTGGGGGGTGGGGGGGGGACGTCCCGCTGAGACACAGCTGGCCAGGGTCCGCTGCGCTTGGAGAGGAGGGAGGGTCCGAGTTTCCCCCGCGGCCTCGCAGACCCGAGCTGGTGACCAGTTCCGCTCGGAGAGGTCCCACCCGGTCTTTCCGAAGCGTGGCTTCGGCCACCTTTGCTTTAGAGCTCACCCCTGGGGAACTATGTTTTCTTCAGAAGGCTCTGCAAGATATGCTTTCATGTAAGTAATTGCACAGCTAATGTTCAGGGTTTTTTAAATTTTGCTTTTCTGCTACTTGCCTTTCCGACAGCTTTATTCCAGGGGGCTGAGGCACTTCTCCCAAGGGAAGCCCGTGTCTCCCAAGGGAAACTGCTCAGAGAAACAAGGGCAGCCGGCAGGGCTTGAAGTGAGCAGAGCCCTGGCCAGCGCGGCTCCATGGGCTGGGCGTCATCTCGCGAAGCGAGAGGTCGCCGGTTCAGTTCCCAGTCAGGGCCCGTGCCTGGGCTGCAGGCCGGGTCCCAGAACGGTGTTTCTCTCCCCCCTCCCCTCTCTCTAAGAATAGATAAATAAAGCACAGAAACAATGATTTATTTTCATTCTTGTGTACATATAAATAAGGTGAATCTTGTACCTGAAGACTTTAAATACCATTAAAAAAACTACAGTGGACCAAGGAGTAATCTCAGTGAAGTTTCTGCAACACAGGAGGTGATCTCCACCTTGGAATTAACAAAACTATTAACTTAACATTCTTAAGTTAAAATCCAGTTTTCAATCTGCTGCATGCTTACACCTGCATGACCAGGTGAATGCCAGCATCTAAATACCTTTCCTACAAGCTAGCAAAAACATTTAGAAGTTCACTGAATAACTGCATATCAACTGCATATCAATTAACTTATAAACCAAACAAGAGAAATTCCCTCTGCTACTTGGGCTGTTAACTCATAGCCTCTGATTTCTAGGAGGGTCTGAGGTTCCAGGAAGGGTGGGCTCGTGGTCACACTGCGGGCCAGCATCTCCCCAGGACTGGGTGTGAGCTGTGCTCTGAGCGGCAAGCACTCAACCCCCCGCCGGGCACAGGGCACTGCCATGGCCCGGGCTCACGGGCGGCACAGCCGTGCTGGCTTGCCGGAGGGGGCCGGGAAACTCAGCCACGGAGAGCCACATGAAGCCGCAGACGGCAGGAGCGTCGTGTAGGGCCAGGAAGCAGCTGCGGGTACAGCTACGTCAAGGAGCGGGGGGGAGAGGGGCTGGGTGGGGGGCTGTGTCTACAAACAGTTCAGCGGAGACTGCCACCCGGAGGACACACTAAAAGTGCCTGCAGTTAGAGTGTGAATTTGACTTTGGTTCTGGCAGGTAATGTAATTAAATGAACCCGAAAACGCTCCTCCCGTGAACAGATTACAATGCTGTAGGAAATGTAACTACATACCTTCAACATGTGCTTTTGCACTGGGAGGAAGGGAATTCCTTCCCTGCCAGGGACAAGAAGAAAACAAGCAGGAAGCAGACGGTGCCCAGCAGGAGGTGAGGGAGCAGGACAGGTCAGAGACCTGGGCAGGGGTGGGGTGGGGCGGACTGCCCTGCAGGGTTGGGGGCGGGGGTGGCAGCTGACATTTCGGTGACAGTGACACTCCCTGTCCCGGAAGGTCACCGTGCCTCGGGGCTCAGGGCTCGTCCTGTTCTGCCTCTAACTAGACTCAGTCCCTGGGTGGCCTCGCCCACTTGCTCACTCTAAGTCCGCACCGTCACGCAGACACACACGACGGCCAAGCTGATATCCCGGACCAGGTTCCCTCCAAGCGTCACTCGTGGAGCCGACCGCAGAGCCCGCGGCTTGCTGGGGCGGTCACAGACATCCCGCCGCGTGGAGTCCCCCCGCTGCCTCTGGGGTCTTGCTCACGTAGGTCGAGGGCAACTCCATTTCGTGGTGGCTCCGGCCGGAAGCCTGGATGTCACCCTCCGCACCTCACCTGTCTCCCACACCCGCATCCCCACCCAAGTGCCACGGGATTGCTTCCCGGGAAGACGAAACCCAGTCCACCACGTGAAACCTCCTCAGGAACAGAAATGGTCACTTACCGTGGTACCGGGGTCTCTCTCAGCTCGGCTCTGTTCGAAAGAATGTATCTTCTGGGCACTGAACTCGTCCGTGTCGGCAATGACGTAGTGCCTGGGGCGGTAGGCGCTGGACAAGTGCCCGAGCAGCCTCAGCATCTCGGTGGTGTGCCCGCCTGGAGGAGGAGAGGAAGCCTCAGCCGGGGAGGCCAGGCGGGCACAGCTACTTGACCTGCTACGCCCGTGCTGACCTCTGAGGCAGGAGGAGCGGCTGGAAACAGGAATGTGTGCCCTGGTGTGAGCTCTGCTTTTAGGCGGGGAAGAGGGTAACCAGTGCATCCATATAAAGCCAGCGCTCACAGCAGGTGCTGAGGCAGGTGGCGAGCGGGGGAAGGCACACCTCACGCTACGGAGAAGGGGGGAGGGATGGGACACACAGAGAGAGGCAGAGGGATATGGGGCAGCAGGGAAATTAGAGCGGGGTGGGGGAAGCCCATGGTTGGGAAAAGCTAAGCCTTGGGGTGAGTGGGGGAGACCCCTCCCCAGTGATGGTGGAGGGGACTCAAGGACCAAGCTAGTGGGAGTGGGAGGCCGCTGGGCGGGGCGGGAGTGTCAGGACAGGGGCTGGAGAAGGACGGATGGGAGGCGTGTGTGTCCGAGGGATGGCGGAGGAGGCGCAGCAGCGTCCCCGAGCAGGACCGGGTGGGAGACAGCCGAGGACACCCGCGCGTTCCACTGCTGACACCGTGCGGTCCCCGGAATCGCAACCCTTTCGCTTCAGGAGCACGAATCGAAAAGAATCAGCTGTGTTAGCTGAGTGTCCTTCACGGAACAAACACCCAAAAGGTCGGCCACCTGTCGCGCTGGCCACGTGCCACCTAAGCAAAGCCGGCTGCTGGCCGACCAGCCGGTGCAAACCTAGTCGCCTTCACTCTGGCCTCGAGCCTCGGGCGGGGGCGGCCCTGACCTGTGTCCGCGCTCCCTCATCACTTCCCTGCGCCGCAAGAGAGCGCTCCCGGCAGGGACCCAGCGCACGCAGCAGGGGAACGTCAAACCCACGGGGCGCCTGCGTCCTCCGGACACACCGGTCGTCCCGCAGGAGAAGGGGAAGCGCGGCTGCCCGGGTTCCAGGAGGAGCCGGGCACAGACAGAGAGCACAGCGCACGTGTCAGTCTGGGGACTTAGGCTCGAACTTGAACTTCTGTCGCATTTAAATGTGACAACTCACCTCGCCTCCCTGATCGTGATCCCTAAACTAAGGACGAAATGCCTAGACTGATGGTGCAAACCAGCAGCATATTCTTTAGGGAAATTGCATGTTGGCATCAAGAGGCATCTGCGTCCTCCCGGCTCACTAATAGTTTATCAGACAACTACACGCTGGAGAGAGGCGTAATTACAGACAAGTGCGAGGCGCTCATTCGTCATTCGAGTCGCGGCCCCGCAGCAGCAGCAGCCCGCAGGCAATGGGCATGGCTGGGGGTCGGTTCCGGAGAAACTACAACTCCCGGCGAGCAACGCGCACAAAGCGCTGAGGAGACCGGGGAAGGAGTCGCGGTGCACTCTGGGGTTTGTAGTCCCACCACAACCCGACGGTCCCCGCCCCCATACTTACCGGACCCGGCCACCACCAAGAGGCTGACAGACTTCCGGGGCACAGTGACCTGTGAATGAAGCACGAGCCATAGCCGCAGGGCCACGACCGCGGCCAACGCCCCTGCCGCGGCGATCAGGATGAGGAGGGCCCCCATTCAACGGAATGACGCATGCGTGATGGCCCGTGGACAGCCAGGAGGAACGGTCGTAGTTCGGGAACTACGGGCGCTGAGAGGACTCAAACTCGACACGTCCGACGCCTTACTGGGCGGGGCTTGCATACGCTGGGCGGGGTTTAGACCCGGAGGCGGAAGTCCGGTCTCTGAGGACTCTGGATTCCGCGCAGCTACCAACCGAGCGGAAGCTCGAATTACGGAAGTTAAGGTCCGGGGAGGTGGGACTTCCGGCCGTGATGAGGCCCAAGGGCCTGGGAGCGCTCCAGTTAGCAGGTACTCCAGCCCTAACAGTTTTGTGAGTTCCACCTGACGCCCAGTGGCACACAGTGCTGTTTTCTTCCCTTTAACATACCACGGGAAGTGTTCTGCTGCACGTGCAGACGTTTGCTGAAAGTGCTTGCCAGGAAAAGGTACCTTGGTGCAAAGAATTGAACTCAGGGCCCTCACCCGTCCACAAACGTCCCTGTCACCAACTCAGTGCCAACCGGAGTCCCCAACCCGGGGTGCGGTCAAAGGGGAGACTTTAGGCAAGTGACCAGTTTGCAAACGTGGGCAACCACCTCAGATGAAAATCTTAAATTCCTTCAAGAAGGCACAGAGGTGACCTTTTATACAGAAAGTCCTCACCCTGGTTCTTGATGCGCCCATTTTTATGCAAATGAGGGATTCAAATCTGCACCTTGTGATTGGTCAAAACAGTACTGTTCTGATTGGCTGGAATCACGAGTCTTGGTTGGTTGTTGTGAAGCTGCTCTGATTGGTCCGGTGCGTGAGACGCGAGGACGGTACAGCCGTGCAGCTCTGATTGGATGGGGTGGGTCTCCGTCCATTGGTGGAGGTAGCAGCTCAGGAAGTCCCTGCTGCGGTTGGGCTCCGACGTGGCGAACACGGTGCAGGAGGCGGCCCGCCCGTGCGGCGGCTGTTCCCTGAAATGCGTCCTGCCTGCCAGGCCTCTGCAGACAGCGGCTGCCAGACTCTGGCTATGGATGTGGGCCCAGTTACCCACAAGGGGTCCTCCTTGGCAGGAATATTCTTTATCAGGGTCAATCACCCAATCTGTTCTTTCCTAGTACCGGTGCTTCGTTCCAGGCGGTTTCAAAGCTCTCTCACCTCGTGGCCAGGGGAGCCGAGGGTGATCCACTCAAGTTCTGCCCGGATCCTGGGCCGAGTGGAAGCTTAGTGGCTCGAGGCAGCTGGAGAGGGGAGGCCTTGCCTTACAATTACTATTCACCTGATCTTACCACAAAGCCAACACCTCCCCGCCCGACTTTCATTATTTTTATGTCCGGCCAGTCTGCATTGCGGCAATATGAAGATGCTAAGATTGGGGAGCCCCGTTCCCCCCAGGCGAGGCTTGCCTTCAGTCCTCTGTAGACCCGTGGGTTAGATAGGGTGTGTCCAGTAGGTCGTATTCAGTCTTCCATCATTAATGCTCTTAACCTTATAGCCTCACAGTAAGGCCATTAGGCAAACACTATCCCTCTCCTTACAGGTGAGGTTTTGATGGGCTCAGAATCCCCTGGGCGTACTAACACAGGGTTGGAAGTCCAGAGGCAGGGCCCCTGGTGCAGCATGAAAAGCAAGAATATTACACGGGATGTGGTTTTCGTTCATCTGCCATTCCCGGCAATGGCTTCCACCTAAGACTCTCTTCCCTCCTCCTTAAGGGAAGATGTTAGTGATCTCGGAAATTACCTCCAGACAAGGCCAGCTCCAGAGCCACAGGGAGGTCATCTTGTCACTGGGTCTTTTTTTTTTTTAAGGGTGAATAAAACTTTTTTCTGGAAGCCCTCCCAGTAGACTCTCATCCTCTGGCCGTGTTGCTGTCACCTGCTCACTCCCGACGGAAAGAGACCTCGGGGCTGGCTGGGGTGGCGTGGAGGAAGACGTACAGCTCACCTGTTGTGTCTTGGGCCTTTGGTGGAGGGTGGGCCCTAAACAAAATGGGCCTCGTCTTGGAGAGGAGGAGGTTGGAGGGAGGTGGGGAGAGGTGATTGCAGGGTCGGAAAATAATAGCTTCTGGATGCTGTGGAGACAGTGCATCTGAGATGGCTTCGGAAGCTACCCCAGGAAGTACAGACGTCGGGCATCCGAAGAACTATTGGGCTCCAGGCCCCAGAAGACACCCTCCCCGCTGCCCCATCCCCTCGCTACCGCCGCTACCCGTGCGTGGGGGACGTCAGCTTAACCAGACCTGGCTTGCGGCTGGGATGAGTGGGGTGACCGAGCTCTCCGAGGCTGCCACTTAATGCAGAGGATCAGAGTGGGTGGAGCGGCAGGCATGGCCCGCAGTTTCGGGTCGAGCTGTTTGGGATCGGGGCTAGGGTCAGACTGTCCAGTGCTCCTGGCGAGGAAGCCGAGGACTGCGGGGAGGAGGAGAGGACTGAGGCGGCAGGCAGGGACAGGATCAAAAGTGGGAGCCCCGGAACAAAAGAAACTCCTGCCGGGTTCTGTCCGGCTCGGCGCGTGTGGGCAATCAAGAGGTCGAGAAGCCGCCCCGGCCCCGGCTGGCGTGGCCCAGTGAGCCGGGCGTTCTCCCGCCAAGGGAAGAAAGGTCGCCAGTTTGACTCCCCGTCAGGCAGTGTGCCTAGGTTGTGGGTTCTGACCCCTGTCGGGGGCATGAGCCAACTGATGGATGTTTCTCTCACATCGATGTTTCGGTCCCTCTCTCCCCTTCTCTCTAAAAAAACAAATACTGTTGTAAAAAGGAGAGGCACTGGAAAGGCAAGGAGGGCTGAGTCAGAGGAAACAGCAACAGACTTTCTCTTGCGGGGGCAAGTTGCACCGGCAGTGCAGACAACAGATGCATGGGGGTAATTTGTGGTGCTGTGAAATGCACGAGAAATGAATTAGCAATTGACAAAATGAGTAATGGTGTTGAGCCATGTCCAATCATAAAAGAAGTCTGGACAGTGAGTTTTATCTTTTTAATCTATCTCATAAAGTTTCTGTGGCAGATACCTTATTCGTGAATACATTCAAAGCTAAGATTATTTTGGGCTCTTCAGTAGGACTGTGTTTATTAATTTGGTCAGTGTATTGAATGCAAACCTCCCGTGTGCGGGATTTAGGCGCAGGGGGCCTCCCGTGAGCAGGGCAGCCGCCCAGATGAGGACCGCAGAGGAGGAAGATGATGGTGGAGGTGGGAGGGGGTAGATTGGGGCCGCCTTGCATGGAGAGCGTCCGTGAGAGTTGCTGATGGATGAGATACTGGGAGTCAAGATGGCTCCTAGAATTTGGCCTTCCAAACTGGTCGGATGGCGTCATTCGCCGAGAATAGACAGCCAGGACGAGAAACAAGCTTTTGCCCGTGGGGCCGGGGAGGCGAGGAGGAAAATGAAGTGTTCTGCTCTGGGAATTCAGTTTGAATAATAGCCGGTTGGACATCCACGTGGTTCCATCAAATAGGCAGTTTCGTGCCCGCCTCTGAAGCCCGGGGCAGAGCCAGGGGAGTAGATTTAGCGCTCAGGCTGAAGAGGATGTTCGCAGCCGGGGCACTGGGAAGGCCACCGGGGGAGGGAGCCTGACTCAGCCACTAGAACTTCCTGCAGGGAGGGACGTGCTTGAGGCCTGTGTCGTCCACCCTCCACCTGTGCCTGCTGGGCGCTTGAACGGGACTTGTCAGAGTGAGGAGTTGAATTTCAATTCAGGAGTTGACTTCATTTAAACTCCTTTCAATTTAGACGGTAGTCAGTGGCTACCGTGTTGGACGACTCAGGAGAGAGGAGAGTCCCGGGACATCGACATGTGGAGACTGGGCCAGCAAAGACAACGGAGCAGGGGACGGCAGGGAGCGGGGGGTGGGGGGGACCAGGAGGGAACAGCGTCCACATGCTGTTCACGTCCAGCGTCCACGTCCGTCCCTGGGGAGCTAGTGAGAAGCACCTTCTCTGTGGGACGGTGGTTGTCGGATGGAGACAGGTGGGGAGGGAGCGGGAGACAAAGAAAAGCGGTCTCTGTAGACAGTCATTTGAAGTTTTCCCTCGAGGGGGGGGTGGATGAATTAGTGGGAAATGGGAGAGAGTTTGGAATCAAGGAAACTTATTTTTTTCATCCTCACCTGAGGACATGCTTATTGATTATAGGGAGAGGAGAAGGGGGGAGAGAGAGAGAGAGAGAGAGAGACATCGATGTGAGAGAGAAACATTGATCTGCTGCCTCTGATACTCACCCTGACTGGGTACCAAACCCGAAATCTCGGCACATGTCCTGACCGGGAATCGAACCTGAGACCTTTCCGTTTGTGGGTTTGATGCTCTGTCTAACAGAGCCATGCCGGCCAGGGGAAGGAAGTTTATTGTTTAAGATGGGAGTCACTTGCAATATTTGTTTGGTGTTACAAGTGATTGACAGGGGAACATGGGGCAGGAGAGAGAGGGAAGGAGAGCAGAGCACGTTCTTCCACAACAGAACCGGGCAGGGGCCCAGGGCAGGTGGGGGTGGGGGTTGGGCTGGGACGGGGGAGGGGCCCTCAGTCCCGGGGAAAGGATGGAGGGCCGGGGTCTGGACGCAGGTCCCGGTGGGGCGGCAGGGCCGCTGGTGAGCGGAGGCGGCCGTGTGCGGGACGGGTCGAGGGGCGAGGCGCCCGAGGAGAAGGCAGCGGCGAGAGGGTCCCCGCGGAGAGCGTTGGGCACCCGCCCCGGGAGCGGCTCAGACTGCAGTGCCCGCGGGCGCATGGGCTGACAGAGGGGGAAGAAACCAGTCTGTTCCCCGCTGGACCGGCAGAGGACCGGCTGTCCGCGAGCTGGGTTTGGACAGGGGGACGCATTAGAGGAGGCTTTTCCCAAGGCAGAGGCCTGGCGTCCCCTCTGGCCGCCGGGGGCAGACGGGGGAGTGGGGGTGGGAGAGGGGGGCAGGGGTGGGTGTAGGCGGGGTCCGCGGGCGAGAGGCCTGCAGGGGGTTGAAGACTTGTGGAGGAAGAACTGGTCGGTGACTGTGGAGGTGAGAGCCGTGCTCGGCGCAGGCGCCGGAGGCCGGCCGTGTGAGCTCCTGGTGGCGCTGGGGTGCGATGGGAATGGCGGGGAAGACCGCGGCCAGGCAGCTGCTCAGAGCAAGGGGACGGGCGCCACTGGGTCC